TACTCACAGTCTGCTTCCAATCCCCAACAGTGGCTTCACATGGATGTCCAGGAGGTACCGTTATCCTCACTTTCAGTTTTCTCTCCGTCTCTCATTGTGTGTCTCATCCACATTAAAGGAAGTCTTATGGTTGGTATTTAAAGTCAAAGTCCCCCCACTGGCCGAAAATAACAATGAGTCCTTTCAGAAGAAGATGTGATTACTGGAACAAGGGCATTATTTTCCTGACGTTTCGGATTCCCTCGGGAATCCTTCATCATAGGTGATGATAACGTAGTCATGGTCATGCGCAGATGGGGTGGAGACATGCACAAGCTGCATGGTATTTATAGTTCGTAGTGGCCATCCGCGTGCGTACTATAATTATCTTCTGCTGTAGCTACCATTTGGGTCTTAATTGGCGTGGTGATGGCTTGAAACTTCGCGTTGGATTCACTAATTGCCGTGATTTTCTTGTCCGTGTCCCATGCGGGCTCGGTAATTGTGCGACAATTATGCTCGCTGTCGTCAGAGTTGTTGATTGACCCGGGCCTTCCCACGTGACTGATTCTCTTGCTCAGACAATGTCTCAGTACACCGCATAGGAACGCCAAATCGCTGCGCTCGTTGAAGGACTGGGGGCCCGAGAACCATGACTTGAGCAGCTCGCGGCTCATGCGGTTATCACCTCTGGCGAGGATTTCGGCCTCGTCAAACTTGAAGATATCTCCCTTCTCTCTCCCTTATCGCCGCTGCATGCTCGGCCATTCGCGTCCGGAGTAACCTTCGAGTTTCTCCGAAGTAGTTGCTTTGTGCACAACTGCACCAGACCCGGTAAACGACTCCAGCCGTTTCCTGCCGTGGCAGCGGATCTTTCGGTCTAATGACCGGGTACTTGATGATAACGTATGTACAGAAACGTGAGCGTATTATACAAACGGGATGTTGTCACAAGAAGATACGATCACTGGAACAAGGGCTTTATCTGCCTGACGTTTCGGATTCCCTCAGGAATCCTTAATCATAGGTGATGATAACATAGTCATGGTCTTGCGCAGATAGGGTCTTTTAGGTCTGTCGAAGTCACGTTTTCTACTTCTAATCGGGTATTTAGCTGCGATAGGAGGGGGAGAATTGTTGGGGCTTTTTATGCGCCAAAAAGTTCCAACGGCCAAGTTACCTTACTTCACAAAAAACGTCTTACTTTAACAAAAGCGTTCCCTGTTTCATCCACCATATCAGCATGGGCCCCCTACGTACTCCGCATTAGGTCGCCATGATTGCAGCCTCCCGGCACCTCTTCTTCGTCTTAATGTGCATTTCAACCCTCCACTGCAATGCTGTCCTTTTGCCCTTCAGATGGAGAATTTGGCCGGCACACTGTTGGACAGCAATCTGCAGATGACCCTGCCCTACGGCATTGGCATGCACCATGCCGGCCTGCGAGACAAGGACAGGCGTATCGTGGAGGAACTCTTTGTCAACCAGAAAATACAGGTAAGTCACCGACCGGGCGGGCGGGGCGGCAGCATCGTGCACTAGCCAGCCAGCAAGGCCTGCTCTGCCCAATATAACAATGTTAATGATATCTGTGGGGGTAATTAAAGGGCAAACCTCCTCCTCCTCCACTGCACGGTTCACGAGCTTGTAATTTGTACTGTATCTTTTTTATAATCACCACCGCCACCGCAGCCTCCCTCTTCTTCATGTTCACTTCTAGCCCCTTTGTAGCCTCTTCATCATCGTCCTGCCCTTTGAGCATATGCTTGCCTAACTGATTTTCCAGTTGCTCTGACTCCTTTTCCCCCCTTTGTCTCACTCCGTCCTCGTGTTCCTTCCCACTGGCGCTGCTGCTCCTCTTCTAATGCTTAACTTAACTGCTTTTTCTACATTTCCTCCACCTCCTCCTCATCATCATCGTCATCCATTTTCTTCATCATTTCACTTCTCCTCCTCTTACCTCAATTTCTCCCTGTCCGCCGTCTTATCTTACTCCTCATTTTTCTACACCGCCCCATTACTTTTCTTCGACCTCCCTCTCTATATATCTCATATCTCCTCCTACGGCGTTAATTTTGTGCGTTGTCGTCTTCCGACCCTTCCTCCGTCTAATAAGACTTCGTATCGTCCTCTGCTTTCTCATGTTGACCCACCTGCTCCTGCCTTTTATCTTCTTCTGCTTTCTGTTCCTATTCTTCTTATTCACCTTCCCCTCTCTTCCTCCTGCTCTGTCTCCATTCGCGTTCGCTTTCTCTTATACTCCTGTTAATCGTTTTATTTTTCATGCTCTTGTTTGCTTATCTTAGTTTGTCTCTTTTCCATTTTCTGTGTCCCTGTCTTCTTCTTTGACCCGGTTCTCCTCTTCCTGTTCTTGCCCGTCCTCCGCATAATCATTCTTATTCGTATCCTCCCCTGCTTTTGCAATTCCCTACTTCTCTTCTTTAGATATTCCCCTCCTCCTCCTC